AAGGGCTACAAAAAAGGTTATTTAAGACTCCGAGCTCAAGGGCTTCGTTATCAAGATAATCCGCCTGGAAGCTTTTGCAAAATTTTAGGTAAAGTTTCAACTTTGAGCCTCAATATCTTCATAAATATTTAAGATATAGAATTGAATCTTATTTTATCTTGAAGATAATTTAATTCTGATTCAGAATATATAATTTTACATTATATTTGTTACAATAATAATCGAGTAATGAGCGATTTTGTGAGACAATGTCACATTATTGAAATTTTCTGAGCCCAAAATGTGGAAAAAACGGTTTTTATTTTTTCACAAGCCCTAAAACCCAAAAATGAAAGTTGCGTAAATCCTCTTCCACTAATTTTCACCTCCTCTTTCGATTGGTAAAGTCAAAAATTGCAAAATCCAAAAATTTAAAAATTCGAATTTTTTCAAAGGGGTATGCATAGAAATTTGATTTTCAAATATTTCAAAGGGCCATATTTTGGAAACCAGTGAAGTTATTGGCATGAGTCTTTTGCCCAATTGTAGCTCTTAATAAGGGCTACAAAAAAGGTTATTTAAGTCTCTGAGCCCAAGGGCTTCGTTTTCAAGATAATCCGCCTGGAAGCTTTTGCAAAATTTTAGGTAAAGTTTCAACTTTGAGCCTCTATATCTTCACAAGTATTCAAGATATAGAATTGAATCTTAATTTATCTTGAAGATAATTTAATTCTGATTCAGAATATATAATTTTACATTATATTTGTTACAATAATAATCGAGTAATGAGCGATTTTGTGAGACAATGTCACATTATTGAAATTTTCTGAGCCCAAAATGTGGAAAAACGGTTTTTATTTTTTCACAAGCCCTAAAACCCAAAAATGAAAGTTGCGTAAATCCTCTTCCACTAATTTTCACCTCCTCTTTCGATTGGTAAAGTCAAAAATTGCAAAATCCAAAAATTTAAAAATTCGAATTTTTTCAAAGGGGTATGCATAGAAATTTGATTTTCAAATATTTCAAAGGGCCATATTTTGGAAACCAGTGAAGTTATTGGCATGAATCTTTTGCCTAATTGTAGCTCTTAATAAGGGCTACAAAAAAGGTTATTTAAGACTCCGAGCCCAAGGGCTTCGTTTTCAAGATAATCCGCCTGGAAGCTTTTGCAAAATTTGAGGTAAAGTTTCAACTTTGAGCCTCAATATCTTCATAAATATTTAAGATATAGAATTGAATCTTATTTTATCTTGAAGATAATTTAATTCTGATTCAGAATATATAATTTTACATTATATTTGTTACAATAATAATCGAGTAATGAGCGATTTTGTGAGACAATGTCACATTATTGAAATTTTCTGAGCCCAAAATGTGGAAAAACGGTTTTTATTTTTTCACAAGCCCTAAAACCCAAAAATGAAAGTTGCGTAAATCCTCTTCCACTAATTTTCACCTCCTCTTTCGATTGGTAAAGTCAAAAATTGCAAACTCCAAAAATTTAAAAATTCGAATTTTTTCAAAGGGGTATGCATAGAAATTTGATTTTCAAATATTTCAAAGGGCCATATTTTGGAAACCAGTGAAGTTATTGACATGAGTCTTTTGCCCAATTGTAGCTCTTAATAAGGGCTACAAAAAAGGTTATTTAAGACTCCGAGCCCAAGGGCTTCGTTTTCAAGATAATCCGCCTGGAAGCTTTTGCAAAATTTGAGGTAAAGTTTCAACTTTGAGCCTCAATATCTTCATAAATATTTAAGATATAGAATTGAATCTTATTTTATCTTGAAGATAATTTAATTCTGATTCAGAATATATAATTTTACATTATATTTGTTACAATAATAATCGAGTAATGAGCGATTTTGTGAGACAATGTCACATTATTGAAATTTTCTGAGCCCAAAATGTGGAAAAACGGTTTTTATTTTTTCACAAGCCCTAAAACCCAAAAATGAAAGTTGCGTAAATCCTCTTCCACTAATTTTCACCTCCTCTTTCGATTGGTAAAGTCAAAAATTGCAAAATCCAAAAATTTAAAAATTCGAATTTTTTCAAAGGGGTATGCATAGAAATTTGATTTTCAAATATTTCAAAGGGCCATATTTTGGAAACCAGTGAAGTTATTGGCATGAGTCTTTTGCCCAATTGTAGCTCTTAATAAGGGCTACAAAAAAGGTTATTTAAGTCTCTGAGCCCAAGGGCTTCGTTTTCAAGATAATCCGCCTGGAAGCTTTTGCAAAATTTTAGGTAAAGTTTCAACTTTGAGCCTCTATATCTTCACAAGTATTCAAGATATAGAATTGAATCTTAATTTATCTTGAAGATAATTTAATTCTGATTCAGAATATATAATTTTACATTATATTTGTTACAATAATAATCGAGTAATGAGCGATTTTGTGAGACAATGTCACATTATTGAAATTTTCTGAGCCCAAAATGTGGAAAAACGGTTTTTATTTTTTCACAAGCCCTAAAACCCAAAAATGAAAGTTGCGTAAATCCTCTTCCACTAATTTTCACCTCCTCTTTCGATTGGTAAAGTCAAAAATTGCAAACTCCAAAAATTTAAAAATTCGAATTTTTTCAAAGGGGTATGCATAGAAATTTGATTTTCAAATATTTCAAAGGGCCATATTTTGGAAACCAGTGAAGTTATTGACATGAGTCTTTTGCCCAATTGTAGCTCTTAATAAGGGCTACAAAAAAGGTTATTTAAGACTCCGAGCCCAAGGGCTTCGTTTTCAAGATAATCCGCCTGGAAGCTTTTGCAAAATTTGAGGTAAAGTTTCAACTTTGAGCCTCAATATCTTCATAAATATTTAAGATATAGAATTGAATCTTATTTTATCTTGAAGATAATTTAATTCTGATTCAGAATATATAATTGTACATTATATTTGTTACAATAATAATCGAGTAATGAGCGATTTTGTGAGACAATGTCACATTATTGAAATTTTCTGAGCCCAAAATGTGGAAAAACGGTTTTTATTTTTTCACAAGCCCTAAAACCCAAAAATGAAAGTTGCGTAAATCCTCTTCCACTAATTTTCACCTCCTCTTTCGATTGGTAAAGTCAAAAATTGCAAAATCCAAAAATTTAAAAATTCGAATTTTTTCAAAGGGGTATGCATAGAAATTTGATTTTCAAATATTTCAAAGGGCCATATTTTGGAAACCAGTGAAGTTATTGGCATGAGTCTTTTGCCCAATTGTAGCTCTTAATAAGGGCTACAAAAAAGGTTATTTAAGACTCCGAGCCCAAGGGCTTCGTTTTCAAGATAATCCGCCTGGAAGCTTTTGCAAAATTTTAGGTAAAGTTTCAACTTTGAGCCTCTATATCTTCACAAGTATTCAAGATATAGAATTGAATCTTATTTTATCTTGAAGATAATTTAATTCTGATTCAGAATATATAACTTTACATTATATTTGTTACAATAATAATCGAGTAATGAGCGATTTTGTGAGACAATGTCACATTATTGAAATTTTCTGAGCCCAAAATGTGGAAAAACGGGTTTTATTTTTTCACAAGCCCTAAAACCCAAAAATGAAAGTTGCGTAAATCCTTTTCCACTAATTTTCAACTCCTCTTTCGATTGGTAAAGTCAAAAATTGCAAAATCCAAAAATTTAAAAATTCGAATTTTTTCAAAGGGGTATGCATAGAAATTTGATTTTCAAATATTTCAAAGGGCCATATTTTGGAAACCAGTGAAGTTATTGGCATGAGTCTTTTGCCCAATTGTAGCTCTTAATAAGGGCTACAAAAAAGGTTATTTAAGTCTCCGAGCCCAAGGGCTTCGTTTTCAAGATAATCCGCCTGGAAGCTTTTGCAAAATTTGAGGTAAAGTTTCAAATTTGAGCCTCAATATCTTCACAAGTATTCAAGATATAGAATTGAATCTTATTTTATCTTGAAGATAATTTAATTCTGATTCAGAATATATAATTTTACATCATATTTGTTGCAATAATAACCAAGTAATAAGCAATTTTGTGAAAGAATGTCAGATTATTGAAATTTTTTTGAGCCCAAAAATTGCAAAAATCGTTTTTATTTTTTAACAAGGCTTTAAAACCCAAGAAGGAAAGTTGCGAAAATGCTTTTCTATTCATTTTAACCTCTTCTTTCGATTAATGAAGTCAAAAATTGCAAAATCCAAAAATTTAAAAATTCGAATTTTTCCAGAGGGGTATGTATGCATAGAAATTTGATTTTCAAATATTTCAAAGGGCCATATTTTGGAAACCAGTGAAGCTATTGGCATGAATCTTTTGCTCAATTGTAGCTCTTGAGACGGGCTATAAAGAAGGTTATTTGAGACTCCGAGCCCAAGGGCTTCGTTTTCGAGAAAATCAGCTTTGAATCTTTTGTGAAATTTGAGACAAAGTTTTGACTTTGAGCCTCAATATCTTCAAAAATATTTGAAATAAAGAATTGAATCTTATTTTATCTTAAAGATAATTTAATTCTGATTCAGAATATATAATTTTGCATGTATTTGTTGCAATAATAATCGAGTAGTGAGCTATTTTGTGAGACAATGTCACATTATTGAAATTTTCTGAGCCCAAAATGTGGAAAAACGGTATTTATTGTTTCACAAGCCCTAAAACCCAAAAAACAAAGTTGCGTATATGGTTTTCCAATAATTTTCACCTCCTCTTTTGATTAGTAAAGTCAAACATTGCAAAATCCGAAAATTTAAACATTCGAATTTTTCCAAAGGGGTATGCATGGGAATTTGATTTTCAAATATTTCAAAGGACCATATTTTGGAAACCAGTAAAGTTATTAGCATGAAACCTTGGCTCAATCTGGGACTAATATTTGGTGCTCGCACCAGTACCTCAAAACCAACAACCACCTTCAATTTTTTAATAAATTAAAGTATGTGATGTGATGTACCTATCACAGGTGGTTTTCAAAAAGGCCAACAATTGCGACTTTGATTAAGATTTTAACAATTTTTCATATTAGAAATTTACTAAAACTGATTTTCTTTATAGGAAACATGGTCAGAATCCCAACAAGAACGTCTAGAACTTCAAAGGGCTCGCGTCTTCGAAGTAAACAGACATTTGGCCGCCCTTACACAAAGCTGGGAACGAGGAGGTTTGCCTTTACACATGAATTTAGCCGTCCACCATTATCCACCACCTCAAGACTTGACCGACAGATTGAAACAACAAAACAGGATGCTATCTGAAGTAATTATTATTTAATTAATTATGCCTTTTTTTTATTAATCTATTTTTATTAGGAAATGAACAAAAAGAACGACAGGATTGCAAGTCTTGAACGTGAAAAGGCCAGTTTGATACAAGTCTTACAAATACGATCTCAGCCAACTAGGAATAGTGGTAACGAAGAAGCGGTATTTTGAGTTGCAGGCTTGAAATTTGAATTTTAAAAAACGAAATTTATATTTGAGAATTTACAGTTGTATTATTTTTGTGCCATTATGTTTTTTTTTTTTTGTATCTGTGCAATTATTATAAAAGAGAAATTTTATTATAATATAGTTTTTGGAAAAATTTGATTTTTCTAATAATCTGAAGAATCTTATGTCGTTCTGATCCTAAATCATTATTTTGTTAATAATTTCTTGTTTTTTCCAAAATATTCTAAGGGTTCTGACTGAATCGCAATATGACCCTAATATTTAATTCATCATGTGCTGGAAGACTACTAGTGCGTTACTGAGTCCAAATGGCATTCGATTGTACTCGTATCGTACTGAATCCTGAATTATTTCAATACTATGTAAATTTCCTGATTCTATGTATTTTCAGTTCTCGCGAAAAGTTTCAGGAGCTATAAACGATAAAATTTATTTAAAAAAAAAAAACATCAACAATTAACAACAGCATTGTTTAAGTACAATAAATGTAAATCAGAATATCGCAAAGAAAAATTAAAAACTAAGACTAGCATAATTAATTTTTCTTAATCTACATTGTCCAAATATTTGGATAGTACCAATAATCCAAAACTTAATATCGTATAAAGACTGCCTGGTATACTTGCTAAAAGTTGGTACCGTTCCTCTAAAAACAAGTCAAATCAAAATTATTTCAAATACAATTTAACAAAACTTTACCTGTCATGATTGCAGATTTTCTAGGCGACACCCATCCCAAAGACCTTTGCACAGCCATTTTCCATTTAGTATACCTTGTATCTCTCTCTAAAAATCTTCAATATTAATCATTTGAAATTGATACAAAAAATTCTTACCATCTTCAGTAGAAGTTGGCAAAAACGTATCAATAGGAACCAGTTCTCTTTCCTCAGAATTCATATCCCAAATTTCCACCCCTTTGGCCATACCGGCAGCCATTGCCACCCCTAAGGCCGTTATGTCTTGCGAGTGAGCTCTAATAACCGGAATACCACTTATATCAGCCTGGAATTTTCCAAATTTTTAAAAAAGATTGGCAATTAATCGGTATATACCTGGAGTTGCATTAATAAATTATTTGTAGTCATTATTCCATCAACGTGAAGCTTGGTCAAAGGTATTCCGCAATCTTGATTCATAGCCTCAAGAATGTCTCTAGTTTGGAAACAAACAGCTTCCAGAGCTGCCCTGATGATGTGCTGTTTAGTTGAAAATGCTGTCAAGCCACAAATAATTCTGAAATATTATTAGAGTTAAAATATACAAATTGAAGATTGTAAAGTTACCCTCGAGCATCTTTTCGCCAATAAGGGGCATAGAGACCTTTGAAGGCAGGCACAAAGTAAACGTCTCCTGTGCTGAAGACTTCTTTGGCCATTGATTCAGTTTCTTCGTCGATATTTTTTATAAAGCCCATATTGTCTCTGAGCCATTTCATTGCTGCACCTGCTACAGCCACACTACCTGAGAAGGAAAAAAGCCTCAGAATAAAGAATACAATGATTGAACTTGAGTCAAGGCAGTAGAATTATTGTCAATAATGAAACTGCAATTTCTGACTGTCTAAATTCAAAATTTAGTTATAAGAAAACCCTAAATTATATCTATTAAAATCATCACAAAAATTAATTAATGATTAGCGTCCAGGGTACTCTTAGGTCAACACCAAAGCATCGCCAGTGAGTCACCAGGAAACATAGGCTATTCATGTAGCGAAATTAAACTGAAGAAGTATGAAAATCCTATTCCAGGCTCACCTAAAGTTGAAATTTGAACTGGAAAAATTTAAAAAAAAAGACAATATTGAACCAAGATAAACAAACACGAGAAAATTTCTAACATTTTTTCCTAAATTCCAACCATTATTACCTTCAAGGGCATAAATAGCGGGATTTTCTCCAAGTTTGTAGGCCACAGTGGTCACTAATCCGTGCGAGGATTGCACTCGCTAAAAACTACTTTTGTTAGTACAGTTTTCCTTCCCCTTTAACTTCAATCTGGACTCACACTAGTGCCCGTATTGTAAAGCAAAAAGCAACCGCTCCTGTAAGTGTTTTTGGCCATGCCCTCTTTAAAACAACTCTGACCCAAAAGGGCCGACTGTTGATTGCCTAAAATCTACATGAAATTAATTTAAAAATTGTAGCTACAATTGCTACATACTCCTGAAATAGTTACATCAGTCAAGGGCCATCCTTGACTGACTTTGCCATAGATTTCTGAACTACTACGAATATCTGGCAGGATGTTTTGAGGTATTTTAAAAGTGCTGCAAAGCTGGGCGTCCCAATAAAGCGTTTCGATGTTCATCAGGAATGTTCTAGAGGCATTTGTAACATCAGTCAAGTGTTTACCATTATTTGAACCACCTGTAAGGTTCTAAAACAATATGTTGTAGAAGTAAGTTTTTTTTTAAAGGCTGAAAACTTTTTACCCAAAGTATCCAAGTATCGACAGTTCCAAAAAGGCATTTTTTGTCTTTGATAGCTTTGCGTACTGCAGGCACGTGGTGAATCAGCCATTTCAACTTGAAGGCGCTAAAATAAGGCGAAATTGGAAGACCGCAAATCGATTTGAAGTGGTTTTTATTGTTTTCGGGGATTTTGGCTAGGATTACGTCTACAGTTGAGTCGGTTCTAATATCATTCCAAACTGTAAAAAAATAGGTATCAGCAAGAAATCTTGATTCAAATTCAATTAGTTTACCAATTGCATTGTACAAAGGTTTAGCGGTCGTTTTGTCCCAAACTATTGTCGTTTCCCTTTGATTTGTTATGCCAATTGTACGGATTGTTTTTGCTGAAACAAAAATTTAGTTCAATGACAAATTTAATTATCTTGCAATAAGTATCGTGATGATTCAAAGTACAAGTGCAAACTGAATAATTATCACTGTAGAAATTGTTTTCCTACTAAACGAGCAATACATTTTGAGATGTATGATTTCCTGATGCTCCATTGAATCTTTCATAATTGCTTTTGTATTATAAATAATTAGGGATTGTAAATTATTAAGTTTTGTTGAATTATTTATATGGGTAAATTAATGGAACGCATACATTATGCAATACTCATCCACCTTTATCTAATCTTTACAACTATTAATCCCCATATTATCAAAGTACTTATACAGTCAATTACAATTCCTAATAAAACACATAATATTAATAGCTATTTATAATTTGTGGTTTTCACTTGTAATATTGAACTTTGCACACCTTGAAATATTTGTTTCTTGATACAATATTGACATTTTCCACTGATCGGGGTGTGACTTCAAATACAAATACTTGTATTGATAAAATTTAATGCATATTTAATTATGTGTTATTTTAACAATAATATTTGATGGTTTTTTATTTACTTAGATATTTTTAATTAATATTAATTAATAATTAACAATTTAAATTGTGGGACATTTTTGAGTTAATATATTGCTTTCTGATAATTTCTAGAACATGTCAAAGCATTAGACAACCAATTGGAAATTTAAGGAAGCAAGTTAGAACATTTTAAATCCAATTTTCAATCTTCCGGCGTTTGTTTGAAAATTGATGAACTTTCAAGATCATTGTAAAATGCTACAGAACAATTTTCAGTGAAAGTTTCAGCTTTCTATCTATAATAGAAAAAAAGTTATGACCTTTCAAAGTTTTCCAAAATCTAAATCATAAGGTAGGTATCTTCTTACTAAAACGATGAAATTTCAAATTTTTTTTTGTCGAGATTTTGTATCCTGATAGTCAACCAACATACCCCAAACTCCATATACTAAATTATTCTCAGATTTGAAGCCGAAATCTATGAAAATAGGCACTCAGAAAAATTGAAAATTTGATAAATCACCACAAATTGCTTAACACGATTTTATCTCAGAAACTATAAGAGCAAATGAGCTGAAATTTTCAGGGATTGTAGTCCCTGGAAAGGGATAAAATTCAGTGAAAGTTTCAGCTTTCTATCTATAATAGAAAAAAAGTTATGACCTTTTAAAGTTTTCCAAAATCTAAATCATAAGGTAGGTACCTTCTTACTAAAACGATGAAATTTCAAAAAAAAAAATTGTCGAGATTTTGTATCCTAATGGTCAATCAGCATACCCCAAACTCCATACACTAAATTATTCTCAGATTTGAAGCCGAAATCTATGAAAAAAGGCACTCAGAAAAATTGAAAAATTGATAAATCACCCCAAATTGCTTAACACGATTTTATCTCAGGAACTATAAGAGCAAATGCGGTGAAATTTTCAGGGATTGTAGTCCCTGGAAAGGGATAAAATTCAGTGAAAGTTTCAGCTTTCTATCTATAATAGAAAAAAAGTTATGACCTTTTAAAGTTTTCCAAAATCTAAATCATAAGGTAGGTACCTTCTTACTAAAACGATGAAATTTCAAATTTTTTTTTGTCGAGATTTTGTATCCTGATGGTCAACCAACATACCCCAAACTCCGTACACTAAATTATTCTCAGATTTGAAGCCGAAATCTATGAAAAAAGGCACTCAGAAAAATTGAAAAATTGATAAATCACCCCAAATTGCTTAACACGATTTTATCTCAGGAACTATAAGAGCAAATGCGGTGAAATTTTCAGGGATTGTAGTCCCTGGAAAGGGATAAAATTCAGTGAAAGTTTCAGCTTTCTATCTATAATAGAAAAAAAGTTATGACCTTTTAAAGTTTTCCAAAATCTAAATCATAAGGTAGGTACCTTCTTACTAAAACGATGAAATTTCAAATTTTTTTTTGTCGAGATTTTGTATCCTGATGGTCAACCAACATACCCCAAACTCCGTACACTAAATTATTCTCAGATTTGAAGCCGAAATCTATGAAAAAAGGCACTCAGAAAAATTGAAAAATTGATAAATCACCCCAAATTGCTTAACACGATTTTATCTCAGGAACTATAAGAGCAAATGAGCTGAAATTTTCAGGGATTGTAGTTCCTTGAAAGGGATAAAATTCAGTGAAAGTTTCAGCTTTCCATCTATAATAGAAAAAAAGTTATGACCTTTCAAAGTTTCCCAAAATCTAAATCATAAGGTAGGTACCTTCTTACTAAAACGATGAAATTTCAAAAAAAAAAAATTGTCGAGATTTTGTATCCTAATGGTCAATCAGCATACCCCAAACTCCGTACACTAAATTATTCTCAGATTTGAAGCCGAAATCTATGAAAAAAGGCACTCAGAAAAATTGAAAAATTGATAAATCACCCCAAATTGCTTAACACGATTTTATCTCAGAAACTGTAAGAGCAAATGAGCTGAAATTTTCAGGGATTGTAGTCCCTGGAAAGGGATAAAATTCAGTGAAAGTTTCAGCTTTCTATCTATAATAGAAAAAAAGTTATGACCTTTTAAAGTTTTCCAAAATCTAAATCATAAGGTAGGTACCTTCTTACTAAAACGATGAAATTTCAATTTTTTTTTTGTCGAGATTTTGTATCCTGATGGTCAACCAACATACCCCAAACTCCGTACACTAAATTATTCTCAGATTTGAAGCCGAAATCTATGAAAAAAGGCACTCAGAAAAATTGAAAAATTGATAAATCACCCCAAATTGCTTAACACGATTTTTATCTCAGAAACTGTAAGAGCAAATGAGCTGAAATTTTCAGGGATTGTAGTCCCTGGAAAGGGATAAAATTCAGTGAAAGTTTCAGCTTTCTATCTATAATAGAAAAAAAGTTATGACCTTTCAAAGTTTCCCAAAATCTAAATCATAAGGTAGGTACCTTCTTACTAAAACGATGAAATTTCAAATTTTTTTTTGTCGAGATTTTTTATCCTGATAGTCAACCAGCATACCCCAAACTCCGTACACTAAATTATTCTCAGATTTGAAGCCGAAATCTATGAAAAAAGGCACTCAGAAAAATTGAAAAATTGATAAATCACCCCAAATTGCTTAACACGATTTTATCTCAGGAACTATAAGAGCAAATGAGCTGAAATTTTCAGGGATTGTAGTTCCTTGAAAGGGATAAAATTCAGTGAAAGTTTCAGCTTTCTATCTATAATAGAAAAAAAGTTATGACCTTTCAAAGTTTTCCAAAATCTAAATCATAAGGTAGGTACCTTCTTACTAAAACGATGAAATTTCAAATTTTTTTTTGTCGAGATTTTTTATCCTGATAGTCAACCAACATACCCCAAACTCCGTACACTAAATTATTCTCAGATTTGAAGCCGAAATCTATGAAAAAAGGCACTCAGAAAAATTGAAAAATTGATAAATCACCCCAAATTGCTTAACACGATTTTATCTCAGGAACTATAAGAGCAAATGAGCTGAAATTTTCAGGGATTGTAGTTCCTTGAAAGGGATAAAATTCAGTGAAAGTTTCAGCTTTCCATCTATAATAGAAAAAAAGTTATGACCTTTCAAAGTTTCCCAAAATCTAAATCATAAGGTACCCACTGAACATGCAATGTTACGAAAGCCTAATGTAATATTACTCTGATATGCCCTGATCTTAGTTTCGCAACATTACAATGTAATATTGAATTATTTTTGACACAACATTACGTTAATAAATTACAAAATGGAATATCCTTGAAATTTTAACGCATATTAGAAATTATAACTTGTACGCAAATTAACATTGTAAATATGCATTTAAATTGAACTGGTATAATTTTTGCAATGTTATAATAACTACCAAATGTAAACTTGCTGCAAAATTGGAAATATAACTTGTAGGTAAGGTTACATCGCAAAGATGCCTTGAAGTTGTGTTGATATTATTTTGCAATGTTATAATTTAATATTGAATGTAAAATTGCTGCAATATAGCAGAAATAATATATTGGAAAATCGAAAGCTTTGCCGCCATTAATAACGATCGGAACGACATCGGGGATACGAACTAAACCGAAAGCAAATCGACGCCATCAAGTCGCTGTTTGTCGTTTGAGTTGAGTGCTGTGTCTGCTTGTTGAATGTTGTGCCTGTGATAAAGCGAATCTCGGCTACATTTTTGCTGTTTGTGTTGGGATTATGTATTGTTTCAGGTAGTGCTTTGCTTTTTGGTTATTTTTATTATTCAGTTTTTATTTTAGAACCTGTAGAAATGAAATAAATATACAGCGATTACAATGGATGAGGATTCAAATAAGGTGAGTAAGGTTTGCATAGTCAATAAATACTTTTTACAAAAATACTGCGGAATGGGGCCCCTTTTTTGTAAACCGTAACCTCTTTTTTTCATACCTACAAATCCCGTATTATTATTATATTACTTATTATGATTTTACGATAATTTTTAAGTTAGGATCAAAAATATCGTAAACCGTTTGGTAGGTAATGTCCAGAAAGAAAGTGGCTACGACGGGAAATAATTATTATAATAAAAATACAGAACTACTCCCTGATTTTGTTTTTGTTTCAGGTGACAATATATAAGTAGCAGCTGTGGTAGCAGCCAGTACCTACTTCGTCCTGGGTGTCAACCAATCTAAAATTTCGCTTTTTTTTTCTGTTTAGAATTTTTATTTATTTTGCTTTGAGATATTACTTTTTACGTTTTGTTTTTCACCTAAGTATATTTTTTTATTGTGAGTATTATAGATATACATAATATACCTACCAACCTTTTTATTTTGTTTTCCAAAAACTTGTACTTTTATTCATAATAAAATATCTACCTAATATATGATTATGGGTTTCAGGCACAAATTTTAACAGCTTGTTTTTAGAACAAGCTGTTAGAGTTTATGCACCTCAAATCAAATCTCTCTGTATAGGTACATAGCATTTACAGTTGCAACATTACTTTTTTATTGCAGT